ACCAAAAAAAAAAAAAAAAAGAAAGAAATTTTATGTTAAAATATCTACATGGTCTATAATTAAATATTCTTGTTCAAGTTATTTCTATGGTTTCTAATAGATTGCAGAATACCTAGTAATTTTATTGACACATTATCTTATGCTTCCATATGCCCAGTGTGGGAGCAGAGGATGTAGCTTGAGTGTAGAGTGGTTGCCTCGCACGTGAAAAGTCCTGGGTTTCATGCTCAGCACCATCGCAAGGAAAAAGAATCTGATATCAGTATACCAAATGTGAATACAACCCGATCTCATCTAATCAAAGTACTGGATATCAGGCAATCTATACCTTTCTTTCTTTTTTGCTTTTTGAATTCTGGATGTTGAAGTTATACATAAGTACCATTAGTTTAAAGAAGATCAGAAGTTTAGATTATTTTAAATGAAAGTTTCATCCAGCAATCTCCCAAATGCAAGGATGCATGGTAACAACTGATGGTCAGAGTTTTGTCCAGAAAAAAGTCGATGGATGCATATAGAGGCCATACTCTTAAGTGAAATAAATCAGACAAACAAGCTTAAAAAAAAAAAGTCAGCGGAGGCAGGAATTAAGAGAGCTCTATAAACACCAAGAATGAAAAACAATGTAGGTTTTGCTTCTAAGTTTTGAGCTACTAATCCAAATCTTTACTAATCATAGAAATTTTTAAAAAGATCAGTCAGAATAGCATTTACTAGTTCCATGGTGAATAGTAATTGCAGAGAGAGATGAAATAAAAACGAGAAATGTGATATCACATAATAATAACCCTATCAACTAGAGAAGAATAGGTGATTTTTCACCTATGGAAATGAGAAGAGATGTTCTAGGAAATATCTACATCTAAAACACCTAGAAGGCTAATTAAAAACTGAGATGTTTGGTTACTGAAAAAAGCCTAACGAGTAAGTATCTTTGGGGTGACAAGCAGGGACACAGCCCTAGAATTTCCATTGTAACAAGCAGCGGGGTACTTTCACCAGTAACATAAAAGTTGAATATCATAGTTTTAGAGAATTTGAAAATATTAAGTAAAATCAAAAGAAGTACTTAAATTATTTTGAACATTGAGGTGGAAGAGGAAGTAAATACTATGATAGGTTTGCTTTCATATCTTTTCAGAGTGAAATGGCATATTATTCTGGAGCCTAAATGGAAAGTTTGTGTTTATTTCAAGATTCATATGTCTCAATTATTTGAGACACTTGTTACCATGAAAATACAAACCAGCAAATTAGTAGGAATTTTGTTTCCTATTCCCATTGAAAAGAATCCAAGATAAAACATACTAGTATTTTTGTTGCTTAACCTTTTCACCTGCAAACAGGCATATGAAATTCTTCTAAAATATTTCAATAATTTCCTCAATCTTATCTTGCGGACACTTTCTTCATGACATTTTTCAAGTTTTCAAATTCTCTTCGAAAAATCTATATTTACTTTTTCAGTTGTTAAGTGTTTGCCTGTGACAGAACCAGATAATGGGCAAATTATCAGTGAATTGGAACCAGACCAGGAATATTATTTTGGACAAGTGATACAGTTTGAGTGTAATTCAGGCTTCAAGATAGAAGGACATAAACAAATACATTGCTCAGAAAATGGTCTCTGGAGCGGAGAGAAGCCAAAGTGTGTGGGTAAGATGTACTTCCTATTTGTTTGATTGTGTGAATATGTATAGTTATTCTCATGAAAATATGCACTTGAAAACATTGTCCACTCTAAAGAACATAAATAATTCTAAAACAGCTAATGTTTATTAAGCATAAACTAGTTCCCTATAATTCATCTAAGTTTTTTTACATGAGTCATCTTATTTTACCTTCAGAACAACTGTATGAGTTCTGTACTTTTATCTTATTTTTTCAGTAGAAGAAACTGTGATGCAAAGTTAAATTACATGCCCTGCTTTGCTACAACATAAAGAGTCAAAATTTAAACCTAGGTTGTTATCTAATATGGGCATCCATGCTCTAAAAGTGAAATAGAATGTTCAGCATTTCTGCTGCACATTGTAGAATTGATGTCCAGAAGAGACTTTTTTAAATTTTGGAAGTCAAAAGTGGATTCTTTATTTCCACCAATCCAGTAAGATGACATTTTACTTTTGAAAAACACTCCTAAGTAATGGCCCTCTTCTATATTTGTGCTGCAGATTTACTAAAAACATTTCTTAAATAAATTGAACCCACTAAATAAATATATGCTTTTTATAAAAAGTTCTATAGTTAATTGGAATCCAAGATTTCTTCAGTCAGATGGTAACTTGTGCATCTTGAACAATTTATGATTTTGGTTTTGGGAATAAACATTACAGTCAATGTGTTTAACATTACCACCCTTCACTTTGCCAATTCTTTTTGTGCAAAAATATCTGTCATATTTATTTTTTAACATTATCTAAGATCTCCACATTATTCATGCTTTTTTAGTATGGTCTCCTTACACACAAAAAAAAGAGTTCTTTCACTAACAACTCTAACAGACTAGTTCTTTGTGATAATAATGATAAACCAATATTTATATCCATTGTAGCAAATATTTTATACTTTAGAAGTTCATGGCTGGGATTTATATGCTTACAACCAGATTTCCATGGTTAGTGAGACCTTCTCGGAATTGTTAATGTTTAAAATAAGTTTTTTGTTGTTGTTGCTTTGGGGATTTTTGTTTGTGTTTTGTTTTGTCTTGAGACAAAGTCTCACCAAGTAGTTCAGGTTGGACTTGAACTCATTATGCAGCCCAGGCTGGCCATGAACTCAGAGCAATCCTCCTATATCAGTTTGTTGAGAGCTAGGATTTTAGGGAAAAATGAGATGTTTTCTAGATGAAGATGAGGATGTGAAAACATACTGGTTGGGGGAGTGAATAGAGAGGAATGTGGAAAGACAGTCAGCTCCAAGCCAGTTATCATTGCCACAATTCTAGGGGAAAATGTTTGAGAGAAATGATGTCAAAGATGACAGCCATTGTTTTCTTGCTTTTAAGAAAAAAAGCTGTATGGATAGTGAAGACTCAAAAGCAGAAAATCAGTTACTTTTCAATATGTTATAAAAAATGAGTTAAGTGAATTTCCTTGACAAAATGTTCAAATTCCTAACTAGAAAATGTGCTACTTTTTCAGGTCACTCCATGAAAATACTTACTACAATAAACCTATATCTACATTCAACTTTACACACACATTAGGTTACTGTGTCTGCCATTTGTATCAAGGGAACCAATTTACCTTCAGGTGACATGAAATTAGAACCATAATTTTAATTTCTTTTGAAGATAAATATAAAGAACACCAGATCAGTCATCGGGCAGTCGAGTCAAAACAGAACTTTTGTTTGTTTGGCAGCTTTACCTAATGGAATCAAAATTTCTGACATAACTTGGTCAGGGTTCTTTAATTTATAATAAAAATTTTATAAATTTAATTCTTTTTATTTAGAAATTTCCTGTTTATCAGCACAAGTTAGAAATGGATATTCTATATCTCAGAAGAACATTTATAAGGAGAATGAACGATTTCAATACAAATGTAACCCAGGCTTTGAATACAATGAAAGAGGAGATGCTGTGTGCACTAATTCGGGATGGAATCCTGAGCCTTCATGTGAAGGTAATGTTATTTTTACTCTCTTTCTCATTTTCTGTAAAGTTTATCAATGATTTTTATTTCTTTTTTTTTTTTTCCTCTACTAGGGATCAATCTAGGCCCCTTATCACTGAGCTATGCCCCAGCCATGATTAATTAACATTTTAATGAAATAATGCATTTTTCTCAAAAACAGAATATCAACTTCATAAGAATGAATTATTACAAAAGTAGCATTGTATATTATAGAACCTAAGCGTATAAGTCCATTTTGACCCTGAGTGTATGAGACTTTCACTCTCAACATTGAAATAAGCAGGTCCCAAAGCTTCAGTTTCTAATTCAGCAGCTAGGCCATGGTCACATGACATTTCTGGAGTAGATCCACGACTACCATAGGCTTCTTAATTCCCAATAATTTATAATTCTCAATTTGATTGCTCCTCTACAGCTCAAAATTTAGCTTTTAAAGGTTAATTATGTTAATATCAGATGAGGAAACCCTCAATTGACAATGAAATTAAGAGGAGAAGCAGACATGTTATTAACATTACCCTTACTATGAATCAACATTGATGATGATGGCCTAGTTTTTTCCGAAAGGATGTTTTGCAGAACCAAAGAGTTTGTCTCAACTCTATTCTTTGCTGAAGAAAAAATAATCTGGAACATCGTGTTCTATTTAACTTATGTCATTTTAAGAGAAACTGCTTCAATTTTATGATGATTTAGCAAAGAGAGTGAAGATAGATGAAGAGTTTAAGAAATCATAGAACAGCAAGAAGAAACAGCTATAGTGTGGTAATGACATTCTTGAGTTACTTGCAGACATTCTGGCAGAGGAGAGAGGTTGCACTTTGATGAGGTCCACTTCACTCAGTAAAATAAGGAAAAGCGTTAGGACATGGGATCTAGTGACATAAAGATGTGCTGTTACACTGCCATATACCTTGCCATACTGTGAGGGCGAAAAGAGTTGAACTCTTAAGAATCTTCTGAATTGTAAATGATACGGTACATACTTACATGAATAAATCATGCTTTAGTTACCTTCTTTTACAAAAGAAGAGTTAAATTTGAATTGATTTTACATGTTGTAAGCCTACCCATAGTTCCTTGAAATATATCTTTCTTCCCAATTGAGTGATCTTCACTTTTTGCATCTTTAAGAAAAGTCCTCAAAGCGCTCGTTATTCCTAAGCAGAGAAAATATGTGCTCAAGTCTCCTGGTATTGTGCTTCTCCGTATTTTACTTCCACGGTACCCCTTAAACAGATAGTTAATTTATCCATCCAAACATCAAAATATAACTTACAAGGCATTTAGTTTTATATCAGGGCCTTGTCTTGTAATATGGATTAACATTGCAATAAACCACCATTCCAACACTCACTTAATTCAAAGTAAGACTTTGGCAGTTCAGTTGTGTGATTTGATGTAGTGTGACTGCTTTATTGAAGTTATCTAATGATTTCATTTATTTTACTTGGTAACTTACTTACTACTTAAAATTCTTGCTCAGCGAATATTTCTTTTCAAGATGGAAAGTCTCTGGTTTTTTTTCAGAAGTATTACAAGTCCTAGGCTTACTATTGTCAAACAGTCAGTTCATTAGTGTACAGTCACACACACACACACACACTCCTCAAAGACTTCACTTTTAAAAATATGTTCCTATTATATTTTTTCATTTCTCTGTCACAAGTACGAGTCAAACCTTAAAAGTTTAAGACTAAATTCTTTAAGGTTGTTGTGTGTGTGTGTGTGTGTGTGTGTGTGTGTGTATGGAGGGTCACAGATGCCACGAGAAGACCTGGGCTCAGAGTATTCGCTTTCACAGAATAGTTTATAAAAGTTTAGTGCAAACAAAGAGAAATTTACCCCAAATTAGATAAACATGTACACTGTTTTGTAATATACTGCCTTTCACTGAAACACACCAGATTTACTAGACATAAAGAAGTCTCTTGTTAATAAGAGTACTCTATTTCCTGTACTCAGCTAGGGTGTTAGACAAACTAGTCTTTGTTTCCTTGGCACAATGCAAGGATCTCCCTGCTGGCATATGACGGACTCCCAGTCTATACACTTTATTATCTCAGAAATAATATAACTTGAATTTCTTTTTTTTGTATCCAAATTTATAAAAAGATTAGAAATTGGTAATAAAATAGAACTTAAATACAGTGTGCTAGGAGAAAATAAGAAATTGTCCTGTTGCAGAAATCTCGGAAAGAAATACACAGAGACACAGAATTCGGATAAAATAATAAAATTTCTTCTCGAGGGCGGACAGGAATGCCAGAAACCAGTCTGGTCAATATATGCGCCCTCTTTGTTCAGCATTTCCCTTTTTATATCCTTTTTAGCCATTATCTTATCCCTAGTGGTCTTTGATGTGTAAATACAATTCCAGTTCCTATTTACAAGTCACAGACACAAGATAGGCCATATACATTGTAAATTCACCCTGGCATGGTAACTTTGTTAGGTTAATGAAGTTACTGGTTAGAGTCAGATAATCCTCACCTTAAACAAGGAGTTACAGGAAAAGCAAATCTTTTAAAAAAAAAACACATTACTTATTTTGCTTCTACAACTACCTTAATATTCAGTCTATTAAGTTATCTAAAACTTTTCCGTATCAGTCCCTCATCTGGTCCATGGCATGCACATGTCAGGGGTTTTATTTGAGTGAATCGGCAAAACTTTCATCTCTGTATCCAGTAGAGGTCAGTCTGTGACAAAAAGTCATTTCCAGCAACCTTTAAATGTACCCATATATATTGCACAAAGTTACTTAGGGTCAAAGTCTGTTCCTCCCACAGACTGTATCTTTATTGATTTATAACAAAGAACACCAACCTTGAGTATTATTCTCACTTCAAATGTTTCTAAGAGTAGGAAAAAACTATTTAGATAGACTGGAATGTTGTTGTTTTGGATAGAAATACATATTCTGGCAATGTTTTAACAAATTATTTATTTTAAGGAAGGTTATGAAGGTGGGGAACTAAGCTTCATTGAGGAATTTTTGTCTACAGCTTGAGAGTAATCTCCAGAAGTCCTTTTATTCTTCAATAATTTAAGAAATTCTGCCAGTATTTGGAATTTCCCTGTTTGATAGGTCTCTTAAACTTGCATTTTTGTTTCTTGTTACTTTTGACTTAAAAAATTGGTATTAAGTTGAGCTATAACATGAAGTAATATATAAGATAGCTAAACTAAACCACAATGGTTATGAAAATGTGATAGATACAACAGAGTGAAGTAAGAGTGAAAAAAAAAAGAATACATTTAAGGCTCATTTGAGGCTATTGTCAAATAACATCAAACACTTAAGACATGTTTTACTTAGAACTTGTATTTAGGTGTTCACATTATTTCTACACAATTGTTACTATCGTGAATTGTTATTATCCTGTTAGCCATGGGCACATAATAAAGTTTATTTTGTCAGAATGGATCATAAATTTAAGAGCAATGGAGAGATGACTTCAATACTTCCAGGAGCTAAATATACTCATAGAAGTATAGTATTTAAAGCAAGAAACATGTAATCAATAATTCAAATTTTATAGAATCCACGTCTGACTGAATGTGAGAATGATGAAGAGGAAGGGCTGTGAGGGGATTTTTTTAGCCTTCTGTTAAAATATTTCACAAATTGAAATACTGCACACAAAAGGAAAAGTATGTATGGAGCAAAGGTTGATTTAGTTTGTCATGTAATAAATTAGATATGCTTTTGAATTATACACATGAGCCTATCCAATGTGAAGTTGCAGTTGATGTATAAATTTGGATCTCATTGAATAAGCTATTAACATAAGCAGATAGTTTTTAATAATGGATATATCTTGAATGTCACGGAGGGTAAAAGGAAAAACACAATAAATCAATGACAAACACTAGCATAAAATCAATTGTAAGGCATAGATATTTGCTCATACAATATCTATAAGGGTCTTCAAGGAAGAATTTTCTGAAGTGATGATAAAATATCGGTGTGAAGCTCTAGGGAAGAATCATTTGAAACATATGGAATGGAAAGTGCAAATGGTAGGAATCAGCTTGGCACATGTGAGCGCCAGACTGAAGCCAGATTGGTGGTAGCATAGAGAGTAAATATGAAAATGATAAGAGACAAGATCTGGAAAATAAAATATAAGATTAGGGCCAACATTTAAGAAGAGCAGAGAAATAAAAGATGTGAAGCTACCCTCAACTTGAAAGGTCTTGCCATTGAATGCTGAAGGAAAGTTTTCTTTCAGAATGGATACAGCTAATATTGAAGGAATGTTGATAAGAAATACAGGGAGCAGACAGGTAGCCTCAATTCATTTGTGTGAATGCCAAGACTTACTACCTAATGATGAAAGCTCAATTGCGTTAAGTGGCTTGAAGGAGTAAGGAGACAATGGGTCACTACATCAGGAAATGAAATAAGTAAATGGGCAGAATATAACTGGATTTCAGGCAAAGGGGAATATCCACCACAGGCTTTTAAGTCAAAATCCAATATGGCACTAATACTGACATTTATATAACTTTTCTGCAATACTTAAAGTATATGACAATTTTTTAGAAAAAAATGTAGAGGGCAGGGATTTAGTGTACCATGCCTACCTTCAAACTCAAGGTCCTGAGTTTGATCCCTAGTACCAGAAAAAAAAAAAGAAATGTAAATTGATCCACTATTGAGATATAGCAGAATTGAAGAGGAATAACAGAAAGCTTTATAAATTATGATATAAGATAGCAAACTGTAAATCACAGGTCAAATCTAGATTGCATGTTTTGTAAACAAAGATATATTTGTTTATGTATTGCTTGTGGATACTTTTGTGCAAAGCAGAGTAAAGTAGCAGCAACAGATACCTGCTATCTGATCCTTTACAATGTTATATTAGTTTATCCTATTTCAGTAAGAAAATGTATTACAATAGATCAATATCGTAATAAAGTTTGTCCTACGAATGCTCCCTTTCAATGTAGGTTATATGAGCCTCTGCTCTTAATATTAATTGTTAAGAATTAAGTGTGAGAGATATCACCTTTCTATGTCCTTTTTTACTGCAGTTTTGGGAACAAGAACATAAAAATTCACACAATCTCTTTTAAAACTTTCTCTTTATTATAAAAGATACTGCTTGCATTTTCATTACATTGTCTTATACAAGTCATGTGGCCACATTTACTTCAAAGAAGAAGGAATGTGAAATTTCTTGAACATTTTATAAACACTTCTTATGTGAACAAAAGTAATAAAAGAGGTTGAAGGATGTAGAAAGAATAAAGCTATATATGATGAAGTCATTGTCACATCTGGAGTACCATGATGTGGTAACTTTGGAGAAAGAGGGATTATGAATCCAGGATGCACAACTATGTCCAATGAAAATATGTGGTGAAGGGAAATATAAGTGATATATCAGGCAGGATGCAAAGTTGTGCTCACTGTAATTCCATTTGTGTTGTGCTAAGGACATAAATAGCATTTATATTTACATTTTCATAAATTTAATTTTAATGGGTCTGATTTCTACATTATCCACATATCCATTTTTTTCCAGAAAAAACATGTACTCCTCCTTATATCCCAAATGGTGCCTATTCACCTCAAAGGATTAAGCACAGAACTGGAGATGAAGTCACATATGAATGTAAAGATGGTTTTTATCCTGCAACCAGGGGAAATAAGGCAAAATGTACAAGCAGTGGCTGGATACCTGCTCCAAGATGTAGCTGTAAGTTTTATTTATATTTTGACTTACTTCCTATTTCTGAAATTAATTTCTCTCAAATACATAAAAAGGGAACACAATAAAACCAAATATTTGTCATATTGTGCATGAAGTCCCTTTTAGAAGCCTTCTTTCTTAATTTTTAAAATTTTTATCAGTACATGTTTATGTACATAATGATCACATTCATTGTGTGGAGTTGGTACATATATATAACACATCTTAATTCTTTATACTTCTTTACAAAGTAGCCAATCCTAAAAATATATAAAAAGCATAGTTTTAGTTAAACTATAGCCTTATCTTATTTACTTTCTCAGGGCCGGGACAAAATATTCAACATCCACAAGTTAAAAGAGGGGAGGTTTACTTTGGTTTATGGTTTGTAGAGGTTTAAGTTGCTTGTGGGGCAGCTCCACAGCAGGGTGGCATGGAGGCGGGGAAAGCGTTCATGGTGTAACAGGTAGGAAGCAGTGGCCATGGAGAAAGGAGGAGGACTATGTACCCTTAGGCCACGCCCACAGTGACCCACCTTTTCCCATCAGGCTTCACCTCCCAACATCACACCTAGCTAAAAACCCATCCGTGGACTACTGCAGTGTCCCAGACCCATGGTCCAGCCTCCTCCCAAAAGCCACACCTGTGAGTGCCTGAGGCTTTGGGTGACAGCTAGATATAAACTATTATGAACTTCTCCATTTCTTGCCACCCAAAATTAACATACTTGTGTGCATAAATAGATATTTCTCTAGTTAATAAAATTCTCCCAATATTTAAATAAAACATTGGGTAAGAATAGTGCCATTTAACACATAGTATGTCAGTCATTTATTGTATCACAACAAATTTCCTTCAAAATGTATTTGCTTAATAACAAACCCTTATTATCTCAGAGTTTCTATGTGTCAGGAATTTGGGAATGACTTAGTGGAGTAATTCTGAGTCAAAGTGTCTTCCTATGGTATAGTTGGGAAACTGGCATAGGGTGTAGTCATGTGAAAGCTTGGCAGGGTTGCAGGATTCTCTTCCAACGCAGCTGGCTCACATAGATTTTAGCAGGAGGCCGCGGTTCCTTACCCCATGGTCCCGTCCATAAGTTGCTTGAATGATAACTAACTTTCTCCAGAGTTACTTGATCTGAGAGAGAATGGGAGAGCCCCAAATACCATTAATGATCTACATATTTCAATTGGAATAGTACAAATGATAATGAATCTACATTAGGACAGGTAATAGAAACTCCTATATGTCAAATTGAATCTAATAAGATGGAATTTAGCAGGAATAAACAGTAAGAACCTGGGCTTGAGTCAAAGAAATTAGCGCCCTAGGACAATGTAGATGAGCAGCAGTTGTAAAAAGTAGTGAACATTTTAATCAATTCTAAGAGAGTTTGCAGCAGCACTGTGATGAAGCACCACACCTGCACAGGAGGCCCTAACCTTTATGGAAGTATGAGGTAAAGTTTGGGGCTCCTCTAAGTACTGCCCCTCTCTGCTGATCAGAGTCTGTGTGGAATATTATATTTGCTTCCAGGAACCACGTTATAAAGGAGAAAAACACAGCTTCAAATGTGGCCACATGAGAAAGAAGAGTGGCAAAGGAATTCAGGCTGGTCATGATAATGATACCACTTTTAATTAAGTCTCCTTTTTGTACCTTTGACTAGACATCTCAGTGCTTTACTTCATTTTATTACTGTTCCATGAAGCATCTCATTGAAGTAGATGACTGTATTTGTTCTGTAGTAAAGCACTAGTTTTCAAATCTACTCTATAATTTAATGGGAAATTTAATTGATTTTTTAAAAAATACCACTTCTATAAATCAAAAAACTGAAGCTTGCTTAAAACAGAATTATGGCTAAATCATGGAGGTCTTGACAAATCAGATGTAAATTCAAACATAAAAAGAAAATACTCTAAATCTGTAAAAAAAAATAAAGCTGAGGGGAGAAAAAGCAAATATTATATAGAAGGAATGAGACTAAAAAACTAAATATGCATTTTAATCATATCAATGGAACCTTCATAAAAATGGAAAATATCTTGCAATAAATATAGACTTTAGTCAAAGAAAGTCTAATTAGGGCCAGTGATGTAGCTCAGCGGCACAGCGCCTGCCTGGCAAGCACAAGATCCTGAGTTCGATCCCCAATACCAAAAAAGAAAAATATAATTAGAAAGATACCATTCTCCAGCCTTTGTTGAAGAAAGATGTTCATAATAATATAATATAATATATAATAATCTTATGAATAGGATCTACTTATCTATCTTATGAAAAGGGCAACTTTTCAGAAAAGTATTATATATAAACCTTTCAATATAGTCAATAACATTGCATTGACATAATGTTAAAATTATGTAATAGATAAGCACTCAATAAAATATAATGATATATCTAATTTTAACATATTTTACTACATTAAAAGAATCTTATTTTCCAGTTAAAATTAGAAAACAATGTTTATCATAATCATAACTATTTGATATTAACAAATATCTTAGAATATTTCTCTGGTGACCCAGAAGATATAATTTCAATTTCATTATCAAAAACCTATTCATATATCTCAATCATGTGAATCCTATAACTTTTGCTGTGCTAGAAAACTTAAATCTGTGTATGTAATTATGTTAATAATAGAGCATAATTCATTGATCAAATGAGTCATTTCTGGTATAATTGTTCACTGAAATAAATTTTTTTGTTTTTTAATTACAAGTGAAACCTTGTGACTTTCCAGAAATAAAACATGGAGGTCTATATTCAGAATATAGATATAGACCATATTTTCCAGTACCTATAGGAAAAGAATACAGCTATTACTGTCATGAGAATTTTGTGTCTGCTTCCAAATCGTACTGGGGTTATATCCGTTGCACAAAAGAAGGATGGTCGCCAGAAGTACCATGCCTCAGTAAGTAAATGTCTTTACAATTACATATGTGTAACTATATAATGGAGATAATGTATGTATAAATATATACGGAGAAGGAAGAGCACATAGTGATGCCAGTTAAGACTAGCATGACAAAAATGGGACGAAGAGGCATATGAACACAAAGACCAAAAGTTTTTCTCTTTCAGAAAGAGCTCTTCATAAAAATCAGAGGAAAATACAGACGGAAACTTTATAAGAATACCTATTTAGGTTTTGTTGTGGTGGTGGTTGTTGTTGTTATTGTTTTGTTCTTTTTTTGGTCTTTTTTTTCTTTTTTTTTTTTTGCGGTACCGGGAATTAAACTTGGCACCTTGCACTTGCGAAGAAGGCAGGGCCCACTTGCGCTAAATCCCTGGCCCTTCTATTTAGTTTTCATTATAGAAACTAAAGATAAAAAATATTGAATACTGCTTTTACTTTTTAAAGAAGCATTAGCAGTAATTATAGTTATTCTCAATTACAAATTACCTTGGGATGCTTATACATTCTCATTTAAATACTATAAAGGTATGTTTTAATTTAGTATTTTGACTAAATTATGTTTTTTTAATTTTTTAAAGTAGTCATTTTTGTGGTCCTTAGGGAAATGTTATAACAATTATGTGGAAAATGGACGTTCTCCAGATCCCTCGCATACCCCATATTACCAAGATGATTCCATACAGGTTAACTGTTATCCCGGCTATAGTCTTCCAAATGGGCAGAACAAAATTACATGCACAGAGAATGGCTGGTCCCCTCTTCCCAAGTGCATCCGTGTCAGTAAGTAAAGTACTCTGGAATCTTACTGTGTTCGTGATTTTCTAAGACAATCAACACTAACTGTAGTGAAATGTTGACATCAACTTGCTTCATTTTTTCAAGTGTGTATAATGGATATAAAATTTCATGATCAGAATGTAGCAAAATAAATGCTACATTTATTGATTAGTCTTAGACTAATCAAGAAGGCAAAATATTGAATGCAGTATTTTAAAGATTAAACCATATTAATATATATTTTGAAATTATTTAATCATTAAACTCAAAATAGTGACAAAATGATAGTTTAAAATAGAAAATAAAGGCAGTGATAACCAAAAATGTGTATCCTATATTGAAGAAGTGATGTGACATTTGTGAATTTTTCTGAGATATGTAACCAAGAATGGGTTTTCTGGGACACTTTATGTTCTACTTAAGAAAGTTTTCTATAGTGGTTGTACCAACATACAGTACATGAATGGCAATGTTCCTTCTTGCTCTACAACCTTGATAATGATTGGGTGGTGTCACATTTTAATATTTACAAAATAAATGGCTATGTTATGGTATTGCAGTGTTGTTGTGTATTTATTTTTCTTAGCATATACTGTCATAGGTTAATTGACAGTTAAGCTAATCTAAAATGAAGTTTGATGTTTTTCTTAATTTATTTTAGGGGGTTCTAGTGTTTTTTGGAATCTTAGTAATTCTAAATACTATTTCTTTTTTAATTACGTGTATTGCAAATGTGATCTTCATTTCTGTGACCTGTATTTTTTCTTTAATATTTATTGTAAACACAAGTTGTTCCTTTTTCTATAAAGCTAACAATAGTTTAATCATTAATGTTGTTTTATTCTTTAGATAATGCTTATCTTCTTCAAAAATAGACTTTATATATTTTCATTCTAAAAGTTATGGCATATTTTGTTTTCCCTATTTATGTTTTAATCCATTTTGTGTTGGTTTTCATGCAAACCATTTCCTTTTTAAAAATTTGGGAAATGAACATTTCTCCAGTAACTGATATTGTACTTTTTTCACATATCCTAAATATGTGTGTGTCCTAAACATGTACATGTATACATTTAATTGTTATTCTGTGTATTCTCTTTTGTGATATTAGTAAATTTGTTTTCTTTTTGTGTTTTTGTAATCCTGTCTTAATTACTATAGATTTGTAAGTATGACTATTTAATCTGATCATTCACCTATATTTTTCAATCAGTTTATCAAGGTTTTAAATGACTTTCTTTAGATTCAGAACTATCCTGAATCTTCAGAAAAATTTTTGAAGAATCACAGATTTATGATCTTGAGACTTTGTATTTAATAATGAGATATATTTCCAAGGTTTTTAAAATCTTTTAACTGCCTGTCAATTGTGTTCTGTTATATATTCTTGCTGATGAAAAAGAAGTTTTTAGTTTTAACTATTTTTATAGACAGTGTTTCTATTACTTATAATTAAACTCTAAGAATGTTCTTTTTATCTTTGATGATTTTAAATTTCACAAGATTACTATTAATCTGCTTAAAATTTTTAATGAACTTTGATAGGCTTTGACTTTACGCAGTGCTATGTTTGTTTATATTCTTAATTTTATGTACATTTTTCTAAGTTTTATTGTTTGATTTGACCTGCTTTGAACATACTACTTTTCTCTCATTTTTATGTCTCTTTCACTTTTTATAGTCTATTCAAGCAGATTATGTGGCTTTTTTGAATAACAAAACTACTTTTTACAGCTGTAGGTTTAATTTCCAAAAGATAATTTTTTCAATACACCACATTTATTTGAATATGAATTATATAAACTAAAATTCATACATATTTAGTGTGCATATCAAAGACTTTACCAAATGAGGATGCTTATATAACTACAAATCCAATCAAGCAAGAGACAGTTTTAGACTTCTAAGAAAGTTCTCTTATTCTCTTTCCACTCAGCTCCAGCACTATGGATAATCAGTGTTCTTTTTATAAATTAGATTTATATTGGACTTCTTTTTTTAGCAAAATCTGTGACATTCTTCTATGTTGTTTCTTGTATTAGCAACTCTCTTTTGGTGGAGTATGATGTTATATGGATATACAAAAATTTGGTCATTTATTCCACTACTGATGAACATTTGGATTCTTTTCACCTTTTGGAAGTTATGATCGAGCTATTTATGAACATCTGAACACCAGTCTTTGAATGAAATGCACTTACTATTTCTTGGGGAAATATTAAATGGGAAAGTGTGAGCTCATTAAGATTATGTACATGATTAAACCTACAAGGATCTGCCATATTGGTGTGAGGATTGCTGAACCATTTTCCATTCCCATCAGCAATGTATATGGGTTCTAGTTGGCTCATATCCTCATTAACAGAGAGGATGAGGATTTTTACATTTCATTTTAATTACATTGCTATATGAAAAGTAGTATGTCATTTTGTTTTAATATTATTTTTCTGGTTGACTAATGATGGTGAGCACATTTTTATTCACTTTTCAGTTATATCTTCTCTGAAATTTTTATATTTTTCCAGATTTAATTGTGTAGTTTGTTTTATATTGTAATAGTCCTTAAAATATATGAGATGCAGTTATGTTTTCATATACATGTTCTGTGCATATTTTCTTACATTCTTTATCTTACCTTCTGAGTTTTTAGTAGTTTATTTTCAAGAACATATTTTTCACTTTGATGAAATACCAATTAATTTATTTTTGTGACTTAATTTTTGCTCTAGGTAGGACATTTTTGTCAACTCTAAAATAGAATAATTTGCCATAAATTTTGTCTATAAGTTTACATATTTACTTATACATTTATGTCTGTGGCTGACTTCTGATTATTTTATGTGTAGAATCAAGTTTATTTTTGTACATATTTTCAGTTGTAATGCAATTTTGGGAAATAGCATTTATTTGCTCATTGAGAAACTTGGAACATTTGTCAAAAAATTTGTTTATGATAGGTTTGTGTGTATTTTACTTTTTAATATTTTCCTTTGATGTATATATTTTTCCTTGAATCAATATATCTTCTCTTCTTCATTATAATGCAAGTCTTTCAACTTGGTTTTTAATTGTTGTAGACAGAATAATAGCTCTTCAAAGATACTTGTTTTCTATTCCGTGGAATCTACAAATTTGTTATCTTGCATGACAAAGGGGACTTCACAGATATTATTAGGACCCTGAAATGAGTAGTGTATTCCAATCACATGAGTTGGCTCAAGATAATATATGGAAACATGAGAGAGAAAGAGAGAGAGAGAGAGAGAGAGAGAGAGAGAGAGAGAACTGACTGAGAATGAAGCGTCAGATAGGAAGTCAATGTTACTGGCTTTGAAGATGGCAGACCAGCCAGAAACCAAGAACGGAAGCAGCCTCTTGAAACCAGAAATGTATTCTGCATGGAGCCTCCAGAAAGGAATGTTCCATGACAGCAGCTTTATTTTAGCTCAGTGATATTTATGTCACATTTCTGACCTTCAGAATTATAAAATACCATATTGGCCAGCTTTCCCACTGCTGGCCAAAATACTCAACACTTACAATTAAAAAGAGAAAAGGTTTAATTTGGCTCATGATTTCAGAGGATTCAGTACATGGTCTGCTGGCTTCAAGATAGAAACGTCATGACAGAAGGCTGGAAGAACAAAGATGCTTAGTCCATAGTTATTGGCAAGCAAAGCAAAGGAGCAGTGCCAGAGAGGAAGAGGTAAGGGTTAAGGTATAGATCTCGAGGTCACAGCTCTATGCAACACCCAGACAAACCCAAAAATGTGCTCCATCAATCCCGAGTGGATCCTAAAGCCAAGCAAGTTGATACTCTAACTGCCAAGAGTACTAAATTAGTAATACTTAAACTTATGTTTGTTGAATTATTTTACAGCAACAATAAGAATGAGTATGCTACTTTAAAACTCTTTTGACTTATTTGTGGTCCATTTTCTTTGAATTTTAATATTACCTTGATAATTTAATTCTCTAATGACTTCCCCACACCGAAATTAGTGAGTAGGCATTTAATTCCAATTTTTGAATAGTCTACTGCGTTGTGGGTCAGGATGACTTTAGTTCATTTATATGATATATTTTAGCCCATTGTTCAGGCCATCTGCAGTAAAATAGATTCCTTGATTAGATGAAACACAACCAGAAGATCTGATTTAGGGCTGTAGTCCTCAAATATTATACAGAAACTTGTTTCAGTTACAAGATATAATAATCCATATCTAGACTGATGTTCCAGTAAAACTGGGTGGAACAGACTTTATTATCTCCATTGGAAAGTGAGCCATAACTACATTACCTATTCTTTTCCATGTAGATAATATTTAAACAGACTAATAATATTACTTAATTTGATATGAAATCTCATCAGTTATCAAACAACCCACTTTATGACTGTTGCTATGGCTTTGGATTTGGCAAAATCTCCAACCTTTAGTTTGGTTTTCTTTTTCTTCCCTTTTTTTTTTTTCCTTGTTGTTGTTGTTGAGGAATGACATTTGTCAATCTGGCTCAGTTTATTCATGAGAATCTTACTGTGAATTCTAGGCCTTGTACATTGGTACTTAATGGTGGTCATTTAATGAATAAATATTAGCTCAATCTTCAGACTGAGATATCATTATATCATCAATATATATTCAGTTGTCAGTGAGTCATAATATTTTAATTAAATAAAACCTAGATATCACATAACTATGTTGTGACCATAAACAGAAGAATTCAGTATATACTTGAGTGAGTGCAGTAGGTAGATATGGGAGTGTGTTCCACAACCGTGCAAACTGACTGTGGTTTTTGAAGTAGTCACCAAAAGAAACCTATCAGTCAAATGAATTATCAAATACCAATTTCCCTTAGCTTGTTGTGAAACTTGAGTTATTAATGCCATTTTGGTCAAAGTTGATGAAAGTTTTGCTTTTTCATTCTGCTATAGTGTACAGTTAACTCTCCATCTCCATATTCATCAGCATTTTTCACTGGCCATATTTGATTAATTAAGTAAAGAATCTGTATCAATAAACTTCTGACATCCTTATTTAAGGCTGAATTTTTTTCATAATTCTAGATACTACTTTTTTAAACTTACATAAATAAACATTTATTTTTGTTTTTTGTTTTACAGCTCTAAGATACTTGAAAACCATCATAAACAACAGCCCTGTCCCTGTGAGGTTCTAGGTATAGTACTGTAGGATTCGGGATGCATTAGACAAACAGGTTTCTAATAACTTCTTCAAAGGGATAATGAGTGTTTTAAACCTTGTCTCTTTCCCAAAACATCTCACAAAGTCTCTTGTAATAACTCGTAAAACTATTGGCTTGTTTTCTTAGTCTCAGTGATCTGGATGATTATGATTATTCCAGGTTTTCACAAACAGCTTCACTTGTGCAAATGATTTTTTTATATTGTCATATTATTTGAGTTCTTGTAAAAATGGTATTGAACATATGCTTATTTTTTCTTTATTCTTTTGTGTTTTAGAAACATGTTCAAAATCAGATATAGAAATTGAAAATGGGTTTCTTTCTGAATCTGATTATATATATGTTTTAAATAAAAAAACACAATTTAAGTGTAAGCCAGGATATTTAACACCTGATGGAGAAATGTCAGGATCAATCACATGTCTGCAAAATGGATGGTCAAATCAACCCACCTGCATTAGTAAGTAATTTATTAGAATCAGTATCCTGATGGTGTAAGAAATTAACTTTATTCTTTCCTATGGTGATTGATGTGTATTCATTTGAAGAAGGGGGAAAAAAGCTTTGAGAAAAAACACACATCATTATTTTCTCCTTTTAGAATTAATTACTAGTATGGTTATCTAGTGCTATTTGTTTCCTTTTATTCAACTTTAAAGCATCTTATGCTTTAGGAACTAGTTAGGAGCTTTATGTATATTCTAGCATATGCTTATTTATTTAACTGGACCACTGTGACTTTATGTCTACTGTTTTATAGGTGATGAGCCTTTTATACGAAGTCTTTCCTCCTAGACACAAAAGTAATGTTTTGGTAAAGATGTGGGTTTATAGTATGTAATCTCAGAATAATTTAGCCTTTATAATTTATGTGTAGAACTGCATCATAGGTACACTTCTGAATACCCTCCCTTTTAGACAATCTTCATAAACATCTAGATATTTAAAAAGTAGTTCTAGGTGCTATTTTTGTTATATTGAAAGATTTTCCTGTCATACCTTCTAAACATGAATTAAAATTTTCTAAAACTGATTAGAGCAGTTTATCACATTTATCACAAACCCATTCAGTGATAATATGAATATTTAAATTGCTTTAAATGAGATAGCTATTTAAGTTTTCCATTCCTATTATCTTAATTTCCTTTCTTTTAACAAATTTCCTATGGTTTTTATAAGTTCTAGCTAAACAAAAAGTGATAAAAGTTACACCCATATACAACTCATAAATTGTGATAAATAATTCATTTATCGTGTTTTTATTATGAAACAGAAAATGTCATATAATAAATGGGTCAATCTTTTTATTCAATTAATCTTTTAAAAATATTTTGCAATAGGGGCCGGGGATTTAGCTCAGTGTTTCCGGCGCCTGCCGCGCAAGTGCAAGGTCCGGAGTTTGATCCCTAGTACCAAAAAAAAAAAAAATATTTACAATAGCTAGTAAGACATCTTAATTCACAATATACTACTCTTGTTTCCTAAAAATTAAATATATAAAGCAAAATACATCTGTGATGGCCTATTTTATTACCAGCATGGGATAAATTTAAAAGTATAATTGAATTCAGAAAAATGCTTTAAAATTAATTTCTCAGATGAGTTTAAATCATGAGAAAAATGCTATGTTAAAACATAATTTTCATTTTTAGTAACTATATCAGAACAATGATTTATCATTGGTCTTAAATTATTTTATATTGTATTTAATTTATTAACACACAATGAAAAAGTCTTTTGTTCTTGTGGTGAGAAGTACTTAGATTGTCCACTGAATTATATTAGAAATGAAATCCTGAATTTTATTATGCATTAGAATCTTGTGACTTGCCAGTATTTGAGAATGCTGGAACCAAAAATAATCGTACTTGGTTTAAACTCAATGACAAGTTGGACTATGAATGCCGTGTTGGATATGAAAACAAATTTAAAAGTGTCAAAGATTCCATAACATGCTCTTACAACGGATGGTCTGATACACCCACATGTTATGGTAAGTACTGTCATTTTGGGAGGATGTTTTCCTCAGGTTAAAAATAAATCTGTGTGAGTCCTAATTTTCAGAAAAATTGAATTTTCTACAGATGTTTTTAAAAATCAACAGTGAAAATCAAAAAGTTCCTTCTGTTTTAACATAAACTAGAAGGAGACGGTGTTTTACAATCAGAGATGATAATCTGTTGATTAGAGCATAATTGTTTTTGTTTTCTTGAATGCAAGCTGTTAAATTATTTGCAATGGAACATCCATCACTAAAGTTTTAGTGTGTTAGAACTTCCTAAGCTATTTTGCTACTGAGTTTCTGTCTTGCATTTTCCACTTTGAATTAATTTATGCAGTTCCTGAGAATAACTATATTTTCTAATTTTGACAATTTATACGGACTATTACATAATTCTCTTTTATATTTGCCAATCAGTTGTCTGTTTCCTAGAATTAGAAGAGGGCTTGAATATGTGGGGAAATGAACATATATAGGTTCCTCTGGGCCAAAGGATTAGTATGTGCAATCTTTGAAAACAACATTAGGGAAATGTAATACTAAGTAACCTCTGGTTAAGATGTGGAAGAATTTTTTGAACTGAGACTGGTTAAAAGTCATAGGAGAACTTAGTAGTTCAGAGTATGTGAACATTTGGCTTCACTTTGCTTGATGAAAAGCCTTGAAAGTTTTAAGGAAAAACATGTTTTAATTTGATTGGTAGATTTTAAGGTTTTGTGAGTTTTCTTCTGTATACTGTGCTTTGGTGTGCTAAAGACAGCACAATGAGTTTATGTAGGGGAAGAAATAATTGGGATGGAAGTAGAGTGAGAGCTGACGACAGACTTGGAACATGCTAGCACAGGCAGTGGTGCTAAATATTAGGTGAGAGAAAGAATGGGAGGTCAAGGGAATCAGCTGCTAGTTTTTCATAAACATATGGGTGACTGACAACCATTTTGAAAGTCAGTGCTGACAAGAGAGGTCATACTTTGGGAGGAATATCACAACGTGACTTGGGCACATTACGGTTGAACTGCCCTTGGACAATCAAAATCAGACATGTAAAAGTGAAGGGCAGAGTTGGATATAGATCTAGCCCAGAGATGCAAACTGGAGATTATCACCTTCTAAATGAAGACATCAAATTGAAAGGGAAGAATAGAAAGAAAAGAAAGCTTAAGTCTAACCCTTGAAACACTGCACCATTCAGATGTCAGAAAGTAGAGAAATAGTTTACAAAGTAGATAGAAGAAAAGGAGGACCTAGAGATACAGGAGGGAAAAATCTAGGAAAGGATATTGTTACAGATATGGGGAAAAGAGAAAATTCAAAGGAAGAACAACTATAACAGATTAGTTACTAAGGAAGCCTGTGGAGTCGTCTTGTCTGGATTCTAATTCCAGTCACATCACTTGCTAAGCAAAACAGCAAGCTGATTTGAAGCATTGTTGAGTTACTCTCATCTGTTAGATGTTTTAATACTTACAATTTTCCCAGTATTTCAAAGGATTGTTCTGGGTAATAAGTTAAATAGTCTTTCTAGCTCTTGCCAAGTGCTTGTCGCACAATAAAGCCAAGAAAATTGTAATCTAATTACTTTATCAGGCTAGTTGGAGTGATAAATATATCTGACAGAGAAATATGTTGGTATGTGCAGCTAGAAAACTGAAAAAAAATGTGATAATCTGGAAATATGGAGGCCAACAATAACTGTAACAAACATGACTTTTAAATAGGCTGGAAGGGGGACAGCATAAATAGAATTTGCTAAAAAGGTAGCAGGAAATGTAATAGAGCATATGGACATATTTCTTCTGAGAAGATTGGCCAGGCAGCAAATAGGAAGCTGAGAATATTGCAAGAGGCAATTATGCACTGAAAGGAGGTCTTCTTTAAAGGGAATTCATCTGAATACACTGAATGCTGCAGAGCATAAACTGTAAAAAGGAGCCGCTACTGAACACATGACTTGGAACCTGAGAAAATGGGAGAGAAAGGGAATCAGAGCACCTCTTAGAAGTAATGGGATTTGATGGCAGCTGGATTCCTTAAAATTTCAAAAAAGAAGGAAGGAAGGCAAGAAAGAAAAATGGGTGTGTAAGTCTAACGCTAGAAAGAATCAAAAGCTATTGGTTTCTGTTGCATTTTGAAGTATGAGACAAAGTCTTCTAAGATTAAATAGTGCCTGAGGGAAGGAGGAGGAGGAAGACCACCAGGAAGAAACCAAAAGTTTTTAAATGGTGGCAGTAGGGGAGGCCTTGAGATTTGACTAACAGCATCCAGGGCTCACTGAGATTAACTCATTCAGGATGCAAATAAAACCTTGTAGGACAGAAGAAAATGATGAAAAACACAAACATTTCTGTCTCCAGTTCATGAAGTTCTCTTGAGACTCTGGAGGCCCAAAGAAGAGCAGAGGAGGCCGGGAAGGTCTGACACACGTGTGTTCAGCTGCTCAGCAGCTCAGCTCAGCCTCTCAGCCACAGACCTCAGCGGCCCAGCTACTGCCCTGTCTGTCCAGCTGCTCGCTCTGAGGCAGTCTAGATTTATAGTGAAGTACACAATCGTGGCTACGTGCCAGTATAGGCCTTGGTAATTTAGTTACACCCAGGCCTTGAGCTGTGCCTGCACTGGAACCCTACTGACTCAGGACTTCTGGTCCTCGGAAATCACCTCCACCGCATGAACAGGTGTGGCCATCTTGGGCTTCGATTTGCCCCACATATGGGTCTGCTTCCCCAGGGCTTTCATTCCAGCATAGGTGAGGGAACATAAAGTTTTAAAATGATGAATTAGGCTGAATAATAAACAAGTAATATAGATAGTTTAATGTGCTTTGTATATCTCTGTGTTCAATAAAATAAAAAGATCAAAAATTTAGACAGAAAATAGGAGGGAATTGAGATTCTCCTTTACATGGGAAAGCAAGTTAGAAAATTCAATGATCTTAAAACCAGGAACCATACTGAAAGGAGGAGGAAGATATTTGATAGCATTGGAAGAGTAACTGAGCATTAGATCACAAAAAGTTTGTATTTTATTCTAAGGGAGAAGGAAGGTTTTTAAGATTATCATTACTTTCTCTCTATAATTATAAGGAGATCCAAGTTTTATGAAGCCAGAAGCTTTTAAAATACTGAGTTTCCTTCTTCCAAAGAAAGAATGGAAGGACTGTGAATTTAGCTCAGTGAAAGAACACTTGCCTATCCCAGTTACTAAGTTCAAATCCTATACTTGAAAAAACAAAATAAAGGGTATGCAAAATTATGAATATTTGATTCCCATAACATTCTCTGTTTTTAGACATGACAGAAAAATGTGAAGAAAGACAAAAAGAAGGAGTGACTATGTCAGCAATAGAAACTGATCCAGGGAAAATAGCTTTTTATTGCAAATTTTACAAAGACTAATGACCATGTAAACACATAGCTAGGAATTTGCCAACATAAGATAAGCCTCCAGAAATTGAATAGACAAATGGTCTTAAGTATCTTTGTTTCAGCTGTGCAACAGAAACTATACACAGACTGGCTGATACCCAAATGTATTTCAGATGTCCTAGGAGTTCTTTCCTTTGAAAACATGTTTCCAAAAGATTGCTATTACCATAAACAACCTGAACAGTGTTTGCAACAATCTTAAAGAAATGTATATCTCAGAGTAAAATATTCATACTAATATTTACAAACATCAGTGCTGAGAATTAGGATTTTGACTTTTTTCTTTTATTAGTACACATTTGCAATATATAATGTTTACCTTTCTCTTAGGGAGTAGGTACATGTAGTTAACACATCTGAATTCTTTTTAATCCCATTCCCTTCCTCTCCTGCCCCCCATCTCTAACATACACTGAGTACATTCATTGTGGGTAGTTGGTGCATGTACACAACACATCCCAATTCTTTCCAGATTCCCTTCCCCAAACCCCTCCCATGGCCCCTCTCCTCATCCTCCAACTCTTGCTACCTTCCTATTTGCAAAAGATCTAATTCCCATTTCCTCTCATCTGTCAGTCATTTGCTCTATACTTCATTTACACTCTCTCGTACAAGAGAAACCATATGGTATTTAAGCTTATATGTACAATTTTATTTCATTTTATATTACACTTTCAAGTTGCATCCATTTACCTACAAATGACTCTTAACTTATCCTTCTTTATAGCCAAACAGTATTCCATTATGTATAGGTATCACATTTTATTCACTCATTTATCTATTTTAGACATATAAGCTGCTTCCAAGATTTAGCTATTATGAATTGTGCTGCTATAAACATTGGCATGCATGTATCGCTGTGATATGATGACTTCAACTGATTTGGGAAGAGACTAGAAGAGGAATAGCTGGGTCAAATGGAATTTCTTTTATTCATTTGAGGAATCTCCATACTAATTTCCGTAACAGTTGTACTAGTTTACATTCCCATCAGCAATGTAGGAGGGTTCCTTTTCACTGCAAACTCACCAGCATTTGTTATTGTTTTTTTGATAATAGCCATTCTTTCAGGATAAGATGAAATCTCAGTGTCATTTTAATTTGCATTTCTCAAATAGCCAGTTATGCTGAACATTTATCTTCCATTTATTCATTGTTTGTATTTCTTCTTCTAAGAAGTGTCTATTCATTTCAGTTGTCCATCTTTTGATTGAGTCTTTTATTGGGGGAGTCTAATTTTTTTTGAATTTTTTAATATATCTTGGATATTAATCCTCAGTATAAGGTGTAACTGAAAAACATTTTTCTCATTTTGTAGGTTGTCTCTTTTTTATGTGTGTTGTTTCTTTTGCTATGCAGAAACTTTTTAATTCGTTATAGTCCCATTTATTGACTCTGTCCTATACCTATGACTTCAAAGTTTTACCTATTCTATCTTTCAGCAGATGGTTTCTGTTCTAACATGTAGATCTTTGATCCATTTTGATTTTAGTACATGGTGAGAAATAAGGATCCAGATGCTATCTTTGCATGTGGATAGCCAGTTTTCCTGACATCATTTATTAAAGAGGTTATCTTTCCTCCAGCCTGTTTTTTGCTCCTTTGTCAAAGATCAAATAGTTGAATGTGCTTGGGGTTTTTTTTCTGCATCCTCTATTCTGTTCCACTGATCCTCAAATCTGTTTTTGTGAGACCACCATGCTTTTTATCACTGTTGCTTTGTAGTATAACCTGAAGTCCAGGATCGTGATGCCTCCTGCTTTGCTCTTGTACCCCAGGAGATTGCTTTTGCTATTCTGGGCCTCTTTTGGTTCCATATGAATTTTAGGATTGTTTTCTTTAGTTTCTTTAGGAATTTTTCTGGTATTTTGATCGGGATCACACTAAATCTGTGGGTAAGTTTTGAAGTCTAGCCATTTTGACAATATTGGTTCTGTCTGTCCAGGAATAGGGGACATATTTCCATTGAATAGTAGTCTCTTTGATCTCCTTTTGAAGAGGTCTTTCACTTTTTTAGTAAGGTTAATTCCTAAGTATTTAATTTTTCTTGATGTCATGGAAAATAGTATTGTTTTCTTAATTTCTTTCTCAGTGAGTTCATTATTGCTGTATAGAAACTAGATAGATTTTTATGTGGTGATTTTTGTATCCTACTACACTGATGAATTTGCTTACTAATTATAGAATCCTTTGGTGGTATTTTTAGGGTCTTCTATGTAAAAGATCATGTAATCTGTAAATAATAACAATAATTTGATTTCTTTCTTTCCTATAGTCATTCCTTTGATCTCTTTCTCTTGCTTGATTGCTCTTGCTAATATTTCAAGGTCTATGTTGAACTGAAGTGGTGATAATGGACAACCTTATCTTGTTCCTGAAAGTTTTTAGTATTTCCCTATTTAATATGATGTTGGAAGTGGATTGTTCATAACAGACATTTTATCAGATTGAGATAAGGTCATTCTATACCTATTTTCATCAGAGTTTTTATATCATAAATGGACATTGGATTTTGTTGAAGGCTTTTTCTGCATCTATTGAGAGATCATGTGGTTTTTGTCCTTGCTCCTGTTTATGTGACCATTTACATTTATTGATTTGTGTATGTTGAACCATTTTTGCAATACTTCGTCATGGTATATAATCTTTCTGATGATTTGTTGCATTCTGTTTACCAGTATCTTGTTGAGGATTTTTGCATCTACGTTTATCAGAGAGATTGGCCTGTACAGTAAGTCCCTGACTGAAAAATATTCAGGTTGTGAACTTTTACAGATACAAACAGACCTTACATTATGAACATTCATAGATGTGAAAAAAGCACAGAAGTAGCTCATATGCCTGCCAGACATTGTCACAGTTGTGCTGTAGTGTGTTTACTGTACAGTGCAGTAGTGTACAGTAGTACAGTACAGTCAGAGACTTACTGTATTTGCATGTGTGTGTTTGAGTTTTTATGCTTTACATTGTATATTTGTGTCAAAGATGTATAAGACTCATTTTTTTGGACTTACAAATTACGAATGTTCTTCCAGAGTGCAACTTGTTCATTGTAAGTCAAGGACTTGCTGCTGTCCTCTTCTGGTACTTTTTCCCTCTCCATTTCTTTAAAGATTTTGAGGAGTATTGATGTTAGGTCTTTCCTGAATTTCTTGTAGAATTCAGCCGCGAATCCATGTAGTCCTGGGCTTTTCTTAGTCGGTAGGGGTTTTTTAATTATTATTATTTCTGCTTCAATTTCATTGCCTGTTAGTGGATTATTCAGAATTTTTAAGTCTTCTTGATTCAGTTGGGTAATTTCCGTGTATGTAGGAATCTCTCTGTCACTATTTTGTAAGGAGATAATTTCTCTTAGTTATAACAATGTCAACAGAATCCAACATACATCAAATATATACATTAAAATATGTTTTAATTATTTTAACCTTTTGTCAATCCCGCTTACAGGTTATATTGTACTGAAATGAATAAGGTGTGGAGATATGAAATAGAAGGGTAAAGGAAAGGGGATATGTCAGTGGAAGGAGAGGAAGATATGCCCTATGTCAATGGGTAAAAAGCAGAAGTTGAACTGTGTGAAAGTTACCGCACAGCTGTGGTAATGAGGGCCTGGGAGTGTATTTGTGTAGTCAGGAGAACGCATCCAGACAAGTGGGAATGAATTTAGATACTGAGGAGATTGTGTCTGTTAATGTGTCCGCTGATAGTTTTGTTTGGCTCCTCTGAGAGTAAAGGAGCCGGGAAAGTTAAAGGATAGGCGAAAACCGAGGGCGCAGATCAAATGTGAAGTTGCTGAGACAAATCGTCCAATACCAATAAGGAAGAACCAAAAGAAAGAGTAAGAAAGTGAAAATAGAGGATAGAAAGAATAAAAGAGAAAAACAACAACAACAGCAACAGCAAAAGAACAGAAACAAAGAGAGCCAAACAGTCAAAACCCAACAAATTGCCGAGGTTACAATGACTACAATTGCCGAAATAACCATAAAAATCGGAATGAAAACTTCACACGGCTGTTGTAGCAGTAACCCAGTTCTTCCGCACAGCTGCCTCTTCACTCGCGTTATTGTCTAGTTGCAATTACCCACGCAATTTCCTCCAATATAAAGCCTAATAAAGGTAAAGACCTCTACGGCAGGTGCGGATTGCTGTCAGCAGTTTCAGCTCCGCTCATCCACACCACAAGAGGGCGCTAGTTCTTTCTCCTGGCTCCTGAGCATAGCGCTGCCTCCCAGCTGATTTCTGAGTGTCCTCCCTCTGTGGGTCGGGCGCTGAATGTTCCACATACCAAGCTCCCTTGTAGGTGAGGGAATAAGCGGCTAATTATTGTTATAATCATTTAATAAAAAGTGGTTTGTGTTGGAGAAATCTTCCGTTTCCTGGTGTCTACATCCATGCCTGCCAACCCTGAGGTCAGAAGGGCTGGTGCCTGGCCTTGAAGTTCACTCCATTCTCTTTTCAATCTGAGTCTTGGGTTGGAGTTGCCTAACTTCTCTGAGCCCAGTGGGAAGATAACCAGTTTATTCCATAATCCAGACTGTCTGTGAGGCCCCTAGCGACCTCCCTCAGCCCGGCCCTTTCCCAAGAAGGTGTGGGTGGTGCTGGGCCTTCGGACATTTAGACAAATATTTTTATACTCTTCCTAAAGATCATTTCTATGTATAGTTATTAGCTAAATAGAAATAGAGCAGGACTGGTGATGTACCTCAGCAGCACAGTGCCTGCCTGGCAAGCGCGAGGCCCTGAGTTCGATCCGCAGTACTAGAAAAAAACAAAACAAAACAAAAAAATAGAGCAGTTTCTTTATACTCAAAAGTGAGATTTTTTTTTTCTTATTAATGCAGTGCTTTTCACAAACACTAATGACAAAGGGCATTTATATAAAATAAGTACACACACACACACATACACACACCTGCTATGCAAAGACTGGAATACAATTTTAGGAGAGTAATCCCAATGGTTCTCATTCAAGTGTGATTTTTCTCATTTAATACAAAAATTCAATATAACAACACCATAGCAATTTTTGCAGAGTGCTGGAGATTAAGTCAGGGTCCTCACACATGATAAATATGCTATGCCCTACGTCTCTGGCCCCAATGCAAAATTTTGTTATTTTTTGAGGCATTATGCTTAAAATCAGTTTTTTTACATCAAATTTTATAATTACATATTAATGCTTGCTTTTAAGGGTATCAATTTTCTTTTTGGTATGATTCTAATTTTTGCATTGCATCCAAGGAAGGGGGATTCCAAATAAGAAAAGTCCTTTTTTGGATAAAATTTATTGCCACAGTT